ATCCTCCTGATCTCTGCCTCCAGAGTACCTGAGAGGCACCTACCTCCAGAATAGCTAGGATGAGAGGCGTGAGCCACCAGTGCCTAGCTAAGTGGGGCTTTATTGATAAAGAAATGCTTTCAGGGAATGGTCAAACCAGTTCTAGAAATAAGATGTGACTTTTTATTTTTTGGTACTGGGGTTTGAGTTTACAGCCTCATACTTTCTATGCAGGAGCTCTACAACCTGAGCCACTCTGCCAGCCTTTTTTTTCCCCATCGGTTATTTTCGAGATAAGGTCTTACTGTTTTCCTGGGCTGGCTTCTAACCATGATCCTCCTGATCTTTGCCTTCAGATTAAGCTAGGATTACAGGCGTGAGCCACTGGTGTACAGCCAAGATAAAACTTTTGATTTCAAAGAATATGTAGAGATTCATACTTGCTATGATTGAGATTTTTTAAGGAATTTAAAAGTTCAAATATGTGTTTATCATAATATGTAACATGTTTAATAAATAAGGTATAAGTTGTTGCTAAATATTTTCTTGATTAGAACAATAAATGTGCTAACTTGGATTTATATAATTTCTTTCCTCCTTTTTTTAAGGGAAAAACATGTTAGAAAAAATACAAGAAATAATATAAGCATATGGTTTTGTCTTTTGTCACATTCTTGGAAGCCATGTGGTTTTCAAAGATCAAAGTATAACTTAATGAATGTTTACTCAGGTATCCCTTTTTGATTTGGTTGTTGAGTTGACTTTTTAAGGTTATCTACCAGTAACTGTAAGTAAGCCACTACTTTGTGAATAGAGAATCTTAACTGACCAGCCTTCACATTTATGGATTTAAATTGTTAGCTTTTTGATAGATTCATTCTAATTCTCTTTAGTATAACTTTGTATAAATACGTGATCATGTCACTGAAATCTGTTTTCTGTTAGTTGAACAAGACCAATATTTTTAAGTACTAACTAGATGTAAAAAACTAAAGGAGATGTGACAAGATCCCTAGCTTTAAAGACTTAAAATCAAATTGGATATTAAGAACACATAAAATAATCTGGTACACAATAAGGTGACCTTTCAAGTATTAATGATGGATTGGTTAGAAAAGCTTTCACCAAGGAAATTAGATATGAGTCTGGTCTTAAATGCATACAGAAGAATTAAGATGCCATTCTAGTTAAAAAGATCTTTGTTTATGGGGTAGATTTTCTCTTTTTTATTTTTTCCTATGTAGTAGGGTTTTTTTGTTTTTGTTTTTTTTGGAAGGTTTTTCATTATAAATTTTTTATTAGGATATATTCATTATGGGAGGATTCGTAGTGACAATTCCAATTAGACTTACGTTGTACACTATTTACATTGCCCCTATCATCTCTACCCATCTGCCCCCTTTGCCCCCCCACCTGTAATAGTTTTTTAATACATAAGTTTAAATAAAGAATTGATATTAAAGGGCCTCACATGACAAGCTATATAGTTTATGGTTGGATACCAAAATATAGTTTTGAGCAGTGAACCTTGATAAAGAAATAGGATTTTTTAAAAGCTAAAACAGTCTGTTACTTTGATTTCTTAAATGATAGGTGCCATATAAAGTAGTATTAAATAATATTCATCTTTCATTATTGTAGATTAGTCAGTCCTAATGTCTCATGCATGGATTGGGATATTGAGACTTAAGTGTGAGGTTTTTCCATGTTCGTCGGAGGTAAAGTGATTGTTTTGCTGTACATGTGAGCATCCTTTGCCAGTTGAATGACATTTTTGGCTTTCTAGATGGCTCTATCCTGGCAAGTAAGTGCTAGTTACCTTCTCATATATACACACAAGAACACACAGTTTATGAGGACTGTCAGGGCTGAGACTAATGTTAGATGAGTCTAAGTATAATGCAAAAATGAAAATTATAAAAATAATCTCCATCTGTTAAATGTAAACACAAATGAAAAATATGAAGAGAAATAGACAAAGTAGTATAGTTTCAAATCTTATAAAACTGTTATACCAGTGATAATTTATGAAAATTGAGAAGTAAATTTAGCAGGCTAATACACATGCTGTTTCTGTCCTTAAACAATTTATAATGCAAAGGAAGAAAGTATAACTGGCAGTCTCTCACACAGACATACTCACACAAGATGGACCTATCTTTTTTTTTTTTTCATTTTTCTTTTATTATTCATATGTGCATACAAGGCTTGGTTCATTTCTCCCCCCTGCCCCCACCCCCTCCCTCTCCCCCCCCTCAATACCCAGCAGAAACTATTTAGCCCTTATTTCTAATTTTGTTGTAGAGAGAGTATAAGCAATAATAGGAAGGAACAAGGGTTTTTGCTGGTTGAGATAAGGATAGCTATACAGGGCATTGACTCACATTGATTTCCTGTGCGTGGGTGTTACCTTCTAGGTTAATTCTTTTTGATCTAACCTTTTCTCTAGTACCTGTTCCCCTTTTCCTATTGGCCTCAGTTGCTTTAAGGTATCTGCTTTAGTTTCTCTGCGTTAAGGGCAACAAATGCTAGCTAATTTTTTAGGTGTCTTACCTATCCTCACCCCTCCCTTGTGTGCTCTCGCTTTTATCATGTGCTCATAGTCCAATCCCCTTGTTGTGTTTGCCCTTGATCTAATGTCCACATATGAGGGAGAACATACGATTTTTGGTCTTTTGGGCCAGGCTAACCTCACTCAGAATGATGTTCTCCAATTCCATCCATTTACCAGCGAATGATAACATTTCGTTCTTCTTCATGGCTGCATAAAATTCCATTGTGTATAGATACCACATTTTCTTAATCCATTCGTCAGTGGGGCATCTTGGCTGTTTCCATAACTTGGCTATTGTGAATAGTGCCGCAATAAACATGGATGTGCAGGTGCCTCTGGAGTAACAGTCTTTTGGGTATATCCCCAAGAGTGGTATTGCTGGATCAAATGGTAGATCGATGTCCAGCTTTTTAAGTAGCCTCCAAATTTTTTTCCAGAGTGGTTGTACTAGTCTACATTCCCACCAACAGTGTAAGAGGGTTCCTTTTTCCCCGCATCCTCGCCAACACCTGTTGTTGGTGGTGTTGCTGATGATGGCTATTCTAACAGGGGTGAGGTGGAATCTTAGTGTGGTTTTAATTTGCATTTCCTTTATTGCTAGAGATGGTGAGCATTTTTTCATGTGTTTTCTGGCCATTTGAATTTCTTCTTTTGAGAAAGTTCTGTTTAGTTCATGTGCCCATTTCTTTATTGGTTCATTAGTTTTGGGAGAATTTAGTTTTTTAAGTTCCCTGTATATTCTGGTTATCAGTCCTTTGTCTGATGTATACTTGGCAAATATTTTCTCCCACTCTGTGGGTGTTCTCTTCAGTTTAGAGACCATTTCTTTTGATGAACAGAAGCTTTTCAGTTTTATGAGGTCCCATTTATCTATGCTATCTCTTAGTTGCTGTGCTGCTGGGGTTTCATTGAGAAAGTTCTTACCTATATCTACTAACTGCAGAGTATTTCTTACTCTTTCCTGTATCAACTTAAGAGTTTGGGGTCTGATATTAAGATCCTTGATCCATTTTGAGTTAATCTTGGTGTAGGGTGATATACATGGATCTAGTTTCAGTTTTTTGCAGACTGCTAACCAGTTTTCCCAGCAGTTTTTGTTGAAGAGGCTGCTATTTCTCCAAGATGGACCTATCTTAATAAAGCATCTTACTTTTTTTACCACCCTTCCCCCCCCAATATTACTTGAGAAATTTGGGTAAAAGACAAGGATAATCAGGATATTGGATACAGATGAATATAAGAGAAATAATAAAGAGGACTGTGAATTTGTAATATTATTCATACAGGACCAGTTTTAAGGCCCAGTTTTCTTCTGATTAACTGACTATAACTAGTGGTTCCTATAACCCTGTCTTTGAGTTCATTAGCTTGAACAGCTCACAGAATGCAGGAAATATATTTGGTGGCTTATTTTAAAGGGTATTACAACAGATGCAGATGAAGAGGTACAGAGGATGATGTAAGGAGGAAGAGGTATAGGGCTTCAGTGCCCTCTCCAGGCATACCATCTTCCAGCAACCTCCATGACTTCAGCTATCTGGAAGCTTCCCAATCTTTGTCCTTTTAGATTTTCATGGAGGCTTCATTTCATGCTTAATGATTGAAGCATGGAAAACTGCATAGAAACATGATTGACAAAAAAGGGAAATCGAGTGCTAATAAACTGGGTGGGAAACCCTAGCAAGACCAGTCTGCTCTGACTGTTTTTGGCCTGTCTGTGTAGCATTTCTTCCCTCCTTGGGGATAGGGCAGGTCCCTTCTGAAATAGGGGTCTTTTGATCTATTATCAGAACAGGTGGGGGAAGATTAAGAAAAAACTTTTGGTTTCTGTCATTTGTCTTGGAGAGAAAGAGGAGCAGGTAGAAGGCAGGCAAGAAGAATGTCAGAGAGAGAGAGGCTTTGCTTTCTGAGGCCTAAGGTGTGCCATTATTCTAGTCACTAGTGACAGGGTTAAGAATAATGACCCAGGAACTATGGACAAAGTCAAAAATATGTGTCCTATTATCACAGATGCTCACTTGGATCGTCAAATATAGCATCAAAATGATCTCATCGTAAACAGTCTCACAAAAAAGTTTCAATTAAATTGTCCACACTTTGTTTAACTCATCTATAATCCCATTATGTCTTTCTGTTAGCCAGTAACGTTTAAAAAAAAAAAAAGCCAAAAACAATAAGTACTTTACTTTTTGGTCATATGTGCATTACTAGAAGAAACATTTCATATTAAAGGCTTGTGTATTTCCTTAGACGCCATGGTTTTCAGCCTACTGAGCTTATGTTAACACATAAATAACTAATCCAGATGGCTCAGCTGTTGGAGGATATAAAACCAAAACTCATTTCAGGAAGCTCTGATGATCCATGTTGCTCATCTTTGGATAGAGTCCATTCTAATTAGTAGTGACTTTCTCAGTTTGTTTTAAAATTTAATTTTTAACTGCATGTTTTCTTGATTTTTACCTAGGTTCCAAAATGTCCTGTGCTTGAGACCTACAGACTGCATGTCCTACAGGAACTAATCTGGAAATACATTAGAAGCAGAAATATGATGCCAAAAGAACTCCTTACCTTCCTCTGACTACAGTTTACTTGGACATACTTTTGTTTTGAAGAGAGGTACACACACTGAGGAAACTTGCATAGAGACCTTGTTGTGTAGGATCATGGACCATCCTAGCAGGGAAAAGGATGAAAGACAACGGACAACTAAACCCATGGCACAGAGGAGTGCACACTGCTCCCGACCATCTGGATCCTCAACGTCCTCTGGGGTTCTCATGGTGGGCCCCAATTTCAGGGTTGGCAAGAAGATAGGGTGTGGGAACTTCGGAGAGCTCAGATTAGGTAAGAACTTCCTTATGTCACTAACAACAATAATAACTGCTATGAACTCTGGTGTGTTTCAGGACAAGCAGAAGTAGGACTTACTGCATAAGAAATAAGAATTTGTGAGAAGGGGCTATAGTAATGACTATATTTTTCCACCAATTCTGAGATTTTATGATGCAGGCAGATATGCATACAAGTAGCAATAATATCCAGATTCTGATTTAGAGACCTAAATTCTGCATCTTTAACAAATTCCTGTGTGATGTAGACTTTTTTTTTTTTTTTTTGGTACTGGGGATCAAACCCAGGGCCTCATGCATGCTAGGTAGACACTAAACCATTGAGCTATATCCCCAGCCTAATTTTTGTTTTTGAATCACAATTTCAGAAGGGAATACACCAGGTGTGCCCTTGGCCTCATGTAATATCAGAACTCTGGAGACTGAGGCAGGAGGATTGTGAGATCCAGGCCAGCCTGGGCTACATAGCGAGATTCTCTATCAAAAAGAAAAAAAAGGGAAGTAAGGTCTTGCTTTAATTCAGACTACCCCTGAAAAAAGAAGAGTAAGTCCTTACTTGGTAATATTCAGATTTGGTCTGCAAGGATATACATCCTATTTAGAGAGATTTTCCAGTTGGTACTACTTGCATTTTTCTTGGAGTTCCCAACATTAGGATTGAGTTAAAACTCTTAAGGAGAAATTCTGCAGTTTTACTACCTATCCAAGAAATGAACTTTCGAGTTTGACTTTATGAGTAAGATGATGAATTGAACAAAATCAGTAAGTTTAAAGATGTGAGATTGAACAGAAGGTACATTTATATACTTTTTTTGGGGGAAGGGGACAGTACTGGGGTTTGAATTCACGGCTCACAAAGCAGGTGCTCTACCACTTGAACCATGCTTCCAGCCCAGTATTTACATACTTTTTAATCGGTCATTCTACCTCAGTTGAGAAGAGAAAATGAAAGAACTGTAAGTAGAGATCAGCTTGGAGAATGTGAAAAGGTCTCCTTTTAGGCTAAAGTGTTTCCTTTTTTTCCCCCATAGTTATTGAAGCTATGGATTATTATGAACACGCATCGTAAAAAACTTTGGCCCTTGGAAGAATGGGAAAATGGCAACATGAGATGATTATTGTTCATTAGCTCTGATCCCCCATAGAGAGTCTTGGGGAAACATCACTACACTAACCAGATATCACTGGGTACAGAATTGAGTTTAAGGATGCTGACAATCAATTTTTTTACTTGTAGAAGGCTAGCAACCTGGAATTGGACTTAAGATAATGAAAGAGTCTTTATATTTAGAGATATCTTCATGTTCAGTTAGCAACACCAGCAGATGCTATTGAGAATAAGAGTAAAATGTGTAATTTCACACTGCATGACTTCCCAGCAACTACTCATTTGCTTTAGCACCTAGTTTTGCAAATACTGATTTATGTAATGGATTGGCTTTGTTTTAATATCACATACTTGCATCAAATAGATTATGGCGTAAACACCCACAAAATTACTGCTAAGAGGCAATTTCTAGTGCATATAAACTTGTGCATTCTTATAACATCAGAAAGTTGTTTAATTTCTTCGAGTGAGGAAAAACTTCGACCAGTGAAACTGAAATTTATTTAATTACTGTGGCCTAAATTTGTATTACAAATTTACATGGAAAGTATCCATTCAGTTAAAAAGATAAATTCATGGTCTTGTAGAGTTTCATAGTAGTAGAGTGTTGTGGGTGGGTTTTGGTTTTGGTTTTGGTTTCAGACAATCTCATTTATAGCCAAGGTTGGTCTCAAACTTTTTTGAGTGTGTGGTACTGGGTTTTTTAACTCAGGGCCTACACCTTGAGCCTCTCTACCAGTCTTTCTTCAGGGTTTTTTTGAGATAGGGTCTCACAGACTATTTGCCTGGGGTTGGCTTCGAACCTCGATCCTCCTGAGCTCTGCCTCCTGAGTAGCTCAGATTACAGGTGTGAGCCACCAGCACCCAGCTTAGCCTCAAACTCTTGAGCCTCCTGCTTCTGCCTCTTGAGGGTTGGGATTGTAAATGTGTGCCAACATTCTTGGCTAATATTGCTCTTGTTGACTTACCCTTGTAGTTAGTGGCTTTATTCTTTTTATCAGCATAAACCAGAAGATGTATGTCAGAATCATTTGGCATCTACCTAACAATATTGTGGGCTATATATCCTATTCCATCTTTCTCTTGCTCTGCTATAAGTAGAAGATTGTGTAGACAAAGAAGATATAAATTAGAAAATGCCAAACTCAAGCAGGTGCAGTAGGCCTTGAGCATGGCCACCAACTACCTACAAGGCACTGCTTCTCCAAACTCATTTCCTTTTCAAGCCACACTTTTTCTACTGTCTTTCAAACAGCCAAGTGCATTTCTGCTTTAGTTCTTTCTGCCTGCAGAATTCTTTCCTTAAAATTTTACATACCTAATTAGTTTGGTTCTTTGCAAATCTTTTTCTATCTCACTATCCATTCAGTAGTCATTTCTTGACTATTTACTTAACACTAGACTTTGGGAAAGATACGAAGAATAATCAGGTATAGTTTCTGTCCCTAAGTATAGCACAGTGTATGGTAGAGAAAGAGAAAAATAAATGGCAGTGCAAAGTAATAAGTGTGACAACAGATTTTTGTTTGTTTTTTTGCAGCACTTAGATTTGAACTCAGGGTCTCATACTTGCTAGGCAGGCACTCTACCACTTGAGCCACTCCACCAGCCCTGACAACAGACTGTATAGAACTACATTGGTAGAACTAAATGAAGAATTTATCCTGTCATTGATAATGGGCAGGATTTCTGCTTGTGGACACATGGAAAAGGGGCTCTCTCCAGCTGCAGGATGCAGAAGAACTAGGTGTTATGAAAGTGCTCAGTGTATTACCAGAGTATGAGGTGGTTATATATAACTTGGTCATAGAATGTGAAGTGAAAGAAACATAATAGATGAGCTGTTAGGTAAGCTGGGAGCAGATTGTGAAGTGTTTGCCTGGTATTTTGAAGTATTTGGACTTTATACTGTAGGCAGTGAGGTGGAATCATCAGGGGTTTTACAACATAGGAGTGATATGATGCGGTTTGTATTCCATAAAGGTAATTCATGTAGTTTTAAGATTAGACCATATAGAAAAGAAGTTAACATCTTAACAGATTTTGCTCTAATGTGGTACTTACTGCATTGTACTTTCTTCCACCATCTCTGTATTCCAATATTTGGCTGAAAGGTAGCATTTTGTTTTATTAATCTTCATAGCTCCAATTCCTTTCACTGTGTATGATACATAATGGGGTCTCAAGCAATGTTTGTTTGACTGAATAATCAGTAATGGGCAGGGCCTTAGTTCCTAGCTTAATTCTAAAAGTGGCAGTGAGATGGACAGAGGAAGTGAATTACAAATTTTAGGAAGGCACTAGTTATTTGAGAGGAAGAAGTCAAATATTAAATTTGCCAACTTCAGGGGACCATGTGAACATGAACAAGGAAGCCTCTAAGGGAATTAGTAAGTATAGGACTGAGGTGGGGTGGTAGGTATTAACAGTTTCATAGGAAATCCTAACATACTAAAGGGATAAAATGGAACCTGAGGGTTGGGGATTTAGTTCAGTAGTAGGGTGCTTACCTGGCTCATATGATGCCCTGGGTTCCATCTTCAGTGCTGTAAACAAACAACCACCACCAATAAACCTTGAATCTTTATCATCCAAAGACCTAGCCAATCAACTAAACAGTAACATTAATATATTATGCTTTTGTAACTCTGTTAAAGTTTTCTTACAAATTTGCCAATTTCTAGGTTATATAAATGGAATAAACTACAAGTTTTAGAAGTCACATTATTCTTTTCCATGTGGTTAAAAGTAGTAGTGGTGGCTGGCCTGGTACCAGTGGCTCACACCTGTAATCCTAGGTACTCAGCAGGCAGAGATCAGGAGGATCATGGTTTAATGCCAACCTGGGAAAATAGTTCACGAGACCCTATCTCGGAAAAAACCTATTTCCAAAAAGGGCTGGTGGAGTGGCTCAAGGTGTAGATCCTGAGTTCAAAACCCCAGTACCACAAAAAAAAAAAAAGGTAGTGTTAAATGAGATTGCTTTTCCAATTTTCATTTTCTTCCCTTAAAAATAAGAATAATGATTTGTGGTGAAGAGCTAAAATCAGAGATGGGCACTGGTGGCTCACATCTGTGATCCTAGCTACTTAGTAGGCAGAGATCAGGAGGGTCACAGTTCAAAGCCAACCCCAGGCAAATAGTTCATGAGACCCTATCTTGAAAAAGCCCATCACAAAAAGGGTTTGAGTAGCTCAAGGTGTGGGCCCTGAGTTCAAACCCCAATACCGCCAAAAAAAAAAAAAACTAAATCAAACCACCTAATACATGATGAGCACTGGATATTTATAAAAATATATTTCTAAAAATTGGGCTTTTAGTTTTTCCCAACTTTATATAAAGAAAATTTTCAGTCTTACAGAAAAGTAAAAAGACTAGGATGGTGAATAACCATAATGTACTGTGACCTAGATTTATATTGTTAATATTTTGTCCAGTCTCTCTTTGGAGATATATAGGTGTAATATACATTAGTGTGTTAGTTTATTTTAACTATTTCCAGTACATCATAAGCCAGAGAAAACACAGATTCTCCTCAGTAAGAATGTTTTTATGTGTGTAATAGATGATAGCATTTGTTTCATTTCATAGTATATTGTAAAGAGATACAATTTAAAATTATAACTTAAGACAGAATGAATGTATTTTAACTTTTTAGGAGACTGTTACATGTATGTAAAATTCTTGTTTCTAATAGTATCACAGCTTAAATTTTGTTTGAAATTGCACCCTATTATTTCCTCCCCAATCTCACCCCCCTTCTGTTCTCTTTCTTTGTCTTGCTTTTTTGTTGTTTGTGGTACTGGGGATTGAACCCAGGGAGCATCCTGTTAGTTCTAACACTAGCATAATTTGTTAGATGTGAACAACTTGATCTTGAAGAAGAG